AAGGAATGAAGGTGTGATCTTCATTCTATAATGTTTTTGTTTAGTTTTATTCAAACTACTTTCAGATTTATTAGTGTATAATTATAACGCACATTAGGTTTTACCATCACACACACAATAATTCATATGCAAGCAAGTTAAAGTTTCTATCTCATGCACATTATGTGATAATCCTACTCGTATTAATTCTTACAACAGGAATTCTGCACTGGTTATGCACAGTCTCTGCAAAGGTTTTCTGATGAGATGGTAAACCTAATTGAGTACTCAAAAAATTCACCAGCAATGATTGAAAAAAATGAGAATGTAAAAAACCTGCATTCAATGGTTATAAAGGCACTTAGTCCTGTGGTTCAAGGAGTGCAATCATGTCTCTCCCAGGAAGAGCGAGAAGCATATAGCAGCCAAGAATCCTTTTGGGGCGATCCACAAACATATATTGCAATTGACCTTGCAATACAAAAAAAAAGAAAAGAGTATTTGGAAGAACAGCTGTTTGAATTTCCCAGTTTCAACCTTTTAAAAACACCAATACCAAGCCCTGTTTGCAGCAATGCTGATAGTGCTACAGTGACCCCCGTTGTCACTTCCAATACAAAGGAAGCACAGAGAGAAACAAGTATTTCAGATGAGGTTTTAAATATTGCTGCTTGCTACGTTGTTGATGATCTTCAGCAGACTACTTTGAATGGGAACAAGACTGACCAGGTTAAGTCTCATGACGAAGAGCACCATGCTGACAGTAGAAATGAAGTATGTGTTGATAAACATGCTCTTGCCACCGAATTTGAAACACATAAGATTCAGAATACAAACAAGACAAGTGTTAACGAAGCTGCAAAGGAAACAGCAACACCAGCTGAGGGGACACTACAGAGACACTGTGTGGAAAGCAAAATGATATATGCAATGGATTCTCCATGCTTTACAATGAAACTGAACTTCACTGCACCGCACACTCCGAATGAAATCATGCTCAACAACTGGGTTTATAACGCCAATTATACAAATATGTAAGTTACAGTAGAAATTCCTATGTATGAAATGAGTTTCATAACATGTTAGTGTTTCCTGTGTGCTATTAGATGTTAATAATGTGTGTGAGTCTTATACTTAATGTGCCTGAGATTTCTGATTAATGTGCGTTTGTGTAATGCTTAATGTGCGTTTGTGGAATGCCTAATGTGCATGAGTTTTATGCTTAATGTGCGTTGTCTACTTAGTGCGGGTTGTTGTGTGAGTTGATAAAACTTTAAATTGCATGATTTGTGTGCTTAATGTGCGTGACTTTTGTGATTAAGGTGTGTGAGTCTTGTTCCTAAGATGTGTGTCTTATACTTAATGTGCCTGAGATTTCTGATTAATGTGCGTTTGTGTAATGCCTAGTGTGCGTGAGTTTTATGCTTAATGTGCGTCGGTGTCTACTTAGTGCAAGTTGTTTTGTGAAATGTTAAAACTTTAAATTTAATGATTTGTGTGCTTAATATGCATGAGTTTTGTGCTTAATGTGTGTGAGTCTTGTTCCTAAGATGTGTGAGTTTTGTTCTTAATTTACTTGATTGTTTATTTAATGTGAATTGTTGTTAAAACTTAAGGTACATGTGTTTTTGTAGAAAGACACACCTATATTAATTTTACAAGTTAAGTTTGCTTTTTTATTTATTTACTTATTGATTTTTTTACTTCATATCTGAAATTTTTTGTAGGTATGAATTTGTTTTTAAACATGGAGAGAAACGTTTACTGATGATTGATTGGGGTCATTGAAGAAGGGTGAACATGTGGAAGCTGGTGTTTTGAATACTTGGGCTTTAATTCTAAATAACATGGAGATCTACACCTTTAAGTATCCTAACAAAAGAAGATTCTTTTTCTCAACAACACCAGTTGTAAGTTATTTTATTATTGATTTACAATTTCATGCACATTAACAAATGTCTTGGAGCACATACTGCATTGCTGACAAGATTATCATACTCCTGTAGGCATCTTCTATTGTGTATAAACCACCTGGATACAGTACTGATCAACTGTATGAAAAGTTTCAAGAAAGTGTTAATCATGACATTGACACTGCTACTGGTGACCCTATAAACTCTCGTTTGGTAAATTAAATTCTACATACTTACATTACATTTGAATTTATAATTTTTCCGAACTAACATGTACAAAATGCAGTTCTTTTTCCCAGTCATTGCAACTGATCAAATATATGTCATATGCATTGATCTGGATGTTTATCACACATGCATACACATACTTGACAACTCTTCTGCCGGTGGTGCTGGTATTGCCAAATATGGTGATATACCATTTCTTTTGGTGAGTACTAAGTAACACATTTTAAAACATTTTATGAAGTGTAGTTTTTTCTATTTTTAATGCATTTCTATTTATTTGCAGAAAGACTACTTTGTGAGATATTTGAACCAAAGGGATTCATACAGTGCTGCAAACAGACTTAAAAAGATTACACTTGAGCGAATGCTAATGCAATGGAGTGATACCGAGAAGAAAGATGATTGTGGTGTATTTACAATGTGCCTCATGCAAACATACATGGGAGATGGAGTGACTGGCTTTCAAAGTGACAGCAGTAAAAATAAACAATCAGATCTTGCAGACCTCAGGGTCAAATACATTACAGCAATTTTAACTGCTGAAATCAATGAACTGTCTGGAAAAACATGGAAAAGGCTGGTATTAAAGACGAAAAATAGAGAATATTTTTGAGTGTTAAATGTTTTATTACATTACAGTAGTTCAGCATCTTGATATAAACTCCTTTGGTTTTGAAACACATTAATATATATTTTCACGCAACTTGTATGTTGCATGGACGCATATTAAAAATCACCTTATTAATTTATACAATTGATAATCATAATATGCGTCCACTTAGCCTTGAACGTGCTTTTTAAAAAATTTAATGTGCATTCATTTTCATGACAAATAAGTAATTGAAAGAAAAAAAAAAATTAAACATGAAAAATCTTAACATGTTTATAAACCACAGTTAATATGTTTTGATATTCGGTATTAATAAATACATTACAACTTGCTTAAGTTCATATCTTAATGTGCGTTCATTTGCATACTAAAATAACATGGAAAATAATAATTATTAAAAACAAATATAAAAAAAAAAAAAAGAATACAAATTCAAATAAATTAATGTGCGTTCAAAATCACCATTACGTGCGAGTTATTAAAATACAACGTGCGGGACCTCAGTTATTGATGTGCGTTCGTTTGAGTACCAATTAAAATAAATCATTTCTCTCATAACTCTTTAACATGCATCTCATATCTCTTTAATATGCATCTCAAATCTCTTTAATATGCGTCTCATATCTCTTTAATATGCGTCTCAAATCTCTTTAATATGCTTCTCGTATATCTTTAATGTGCGTCGCATATATCTTTAATATGCGTCTCATATCTCTTTAATGAGCGTCCGTCCGTCTAACACTTACTATGCGTGCATGTATTACACAGTGTGCTTCAAAAATATAACTTAACGTGCTCCATTTTCATAACCAAGTAAACTAGATCAATTTTCTGAGATAAAAATATATATATATATAGATCCACGAGAAATAAATACTATATAACAACTGAGAATGGAAAAAGATTTGCAAACAAAAACAATGGACACCGCAATGCTAAACGATCGAGAGACGATAAACAACTGAACGATTCTTTGAAAAACAAAAACAACGGCGACGGCAATGCGAACGACGATAGAGAACAGCGATGAAGGTTAATTTATTCAAAATTACTAAAATTTATTCAAAATTACTAACTTGTCCCTCAGTACGCGAATACAATAAAAAATACGCGAATTTCAAACTTTGAGATCAACGGTCAAGATATTTTAACTCATTAAAAATGAACAGCATCCTTTCAACCACACCTAATAGTGCCAACTGCACCAGAACCCGAACCTAACATATATATATATATATATATATATATATATATATATATATATATATATATTATTTTGGATTTTTGAACGGGTCAGATGAATATTTGCCAAACCCTACTCGATTTTATGTTATCCGGCACATAAAGGATCGCAGTTCGATTTTCCCCTTTGGATTCAAATATCCACCCCGAATTGCATGGTGAGTTTATGGTAGGACAGGTTAGTCGGGTTGGACTAGGGTATTGCATAGCCCTAATGAGCACATCAATACTCTTTGATTTAGCTACATTTTTTACTAAGGGTGTGTTTGGAAACACGAAAAATGATTTCTGGAAATCATTTTCCGGGTTTTCAGTGTTTGGATGTGCCTGAAAAATCAAGTCAACGGAAATCATTTTTCGTTGATTTTGGAAAACATGCTTGTTTTGGAGGAAAATAACTTCCCATATTTTTTTTGGGAAGTCATTTTCCAACTTTTACAGCAACACCACAATACCACCACTACTACCACCAACACCATCACCATCACCACCACCCCCGTCGCCACCACCGCCACCACCATACCACCGCAACTACCACCACGTACTGCAACCACCACCACCACTGCCACTACCGCTATACTACCCCAGTTATTATTATTACTCCGTATTATTATTATTATTATTGTTGTTGTTGTTGTTGTTGTTTTGAATTACAAAACTTTGGTTAATTATTTTGATATCGTATTAGTTATTTTTTATTATATTTAAAATTGTTATTATATTATTATATATTATTATACATGTTATATTCTAAATAAAAAAATTCAAATGTTTTTTTTTTTTTTGAAAGTAAAAATTCAAATGTTTAATTATACAATTATACTCATTTTCCCGAAAATGAACTAAACACACTATTTAAGACAGCTTTTCAGAATGCAACCAAACACTGGAGACTAAAATGTTTTCTTGAAAATGACTCATTTTCGAGAAAACATTTTCCATAAGTCATTTTCCTGCTTTCCAAACGGATCCTAAAATAGTGATTACTAACACAATACATCATTCGAATCATTTCATCTTGTTTTACGTACAACAATACAGTTTATTTATATCATTCAAATTGAAAAGAAAAATAGTATAACAATATATAGGATTTATTCAATCTACTTGTATATGAAATTTGAAATTAAATGAGGTTGACAACAAGTGAACAACCATTATATTGTTTGTTGAGAACTGAGAAGGGATTGAAACATTAATTGTGGACGTTGGCAGAAAAGGGATTGAACCCAGATTTGAGAATGATTTCAAGTGGAGGAGTAAGTGGCTTTGGCATATGGTTCCACTCATACCAATCCCAACCCTCACAACAATCTGGTTCAACGTTCTCTGGAATCTGATGAGGATCCCTCAGTTCTGCTCGGATCATGAGTACTACGTAGTGGGATGGTTTAGCTTCGTTGTGAAACACATGGTTTATCACCTTCAGAGTCTCTATGTTCTTCAGCTCTAACCCTGCTTCTTCCATTACCTCTCTTGCTGCACACTCTTCAAAAACCTCCCCTGCAATTAAATGAACATATATTTACTCACAAGGACAAGTTTACCAATGCCTTTAGACAGTGATTACAGATTTCCTTCGTTACCTAAAAAAAACACATTAAGATCGAATGAATATATTAAGGTACGTACCAAATTCAAGGTGACCACTAGGAACGGAGAAACAAGAAGTGCCAGCACCGGCGAGGCGCTTTCCGACCAACACCTTCTCGCCTTTCAGTATGAAAACCGCCACTGCTACTTTAGGAACCTTATCACTGCTCATTTTCTAGGGTTTTAATTAGCTAAACCAAGTGGATAATATAATACTGCGTATAAGGTTGCACTTAATTGGTTGTGAATTTAGCTAAGTGGCTTGGTATGTTTGTTGGGTGTTTTAGCTCCTTTTTATAGTGCAGCAAAGGCCAAAGGCTGCATGCATGTGTCAGGTATCTGCAGCATACCTTCTTGGAACTATATATGAAGTCAATGAAAGACAAATTAAAGTATGTACTATAACTGTTTGTATTTCTAGAACTTTTAAGGTAAGAATTACGTTCTGATTACGAGGGCCTACGTGCATGCTGCTTTCCGTTTAGTAATACCACATAGTTTACAAATATTTAGGGTCCATGAGTCAATATATCCGGCGATTTATCTCTTTCACAAAATTTGCAAGACAAGAGTGAGCTGTTATATGTATTCAAATGAATTTTTGTAGTGAGTTTTTATATATTAATAATGAAAGCAAAATCTCAAAGTCTCACGAATCTTTATCTGTGAGACATGTTGTGAAAAATATAACATTTTTTTCATATAAGTAACTTCTTCAACTCATAAATGTTACATTTTGATTTAAAAAATATTATAATTTCATCAAAAGTATCACATTTTCATCATAAGTATTACACCAACAATCAATTTATCCATTATTAATATTATACGTTTCCTTATAATTAATAATCAATCAAGTATATATCCTGATTAATATTACACTTTTTCTCATATTCAACTCTTAAAATCCTAAATATTATATTTTGATTTAAACTATTAAATTTTTCTCAAAACTATCACACTATTCCTCGTAAGTATTACGTTTTTTCTTATAAGTAACAATCAGTTTATCTCTTATTAGTATTGTATTTTTATTATATGTATTACATTCTCATTTAGATCTAATACATCTTACGAATAAAAATTCGTGACACGATATCACAGGAGTGTGATACACCCAAAAATGAACTTTCATTTATGCCATCCTCGGAGTCAAAGTAATGTTAGAGATTTCAAAGTTGCCTGAAGATTGTTTAGAGTTATTTTTGCTTTTGGTCCCACGAGTATGAGACCATTTTCACATTTGTTTCTCGACTATTAAAATTTCTATTTTCGGTCCCACGACTTTTAAATCATTGCCACATTTGGTCCACGACTATTAAAATTTCATATTTGGTCCCACAACTTTAAATTAAATCCTTTCCGTCTTTGGTCCCCATCTATTAAAATTTTTAGATTTGGTTCCATGACATTTAAATCATTGCCACATTTAGTCCATCCAACCTACATTCTAATTATCCGTGATTAAATTTCATATAAGTAAATTATCTTAAGGATAAAATTGTTCTTTTTCTAATACATTTTTCTTGAACTTATTTTTTCTTCTCAAATCACTTTCTTCATTTTTTTCCCCAATGTGACTAATTAAAGTTATAAACTATACATTTTATCAACTTTATAACTTAATATGGTGTTGAACTAATGATATTATAATTACAAAATACAAATATTATATACAAACTTTAATAATGTTAATATCTAAGATAAATAAGTTAAAATTATATTGCAAATTTAAATTTACAAACGCTGAATATTTGTACAAAAAATTAAAAATTATTTAATTAAAAGGGATATTAGTAGTTAATTATGAGATTAGAGAATCACCCGACTAAATCTGGAAATTTTAATAGTTGGAGACTAAATGTGGAAAAGATTTAAAATTCGTGGGATTAAATCTGAAAATTTTAATAGTTGAGGATCAAATATGGCAATAATTGAAAAGTCGTAGAACCATATAAATTTTAATAGTTGGAGACCTACTATGACAAGGATTTAAAAGTTGTAAGGTTAAATCTGAAAATTTTAATAATTCGAGACTAAATGTAGAAATGGTATATTACTCATGGGATCAAAGTGGAAATAACTTATTATATTGGTTGTTGACGGTGGTGGCCTTCTTGAAAGGCGGCGTGGACCCACTTTAGATGCTCATATAGAGCTTCGGAGCTTCCTAAGAAGGTAAGTTGATTCTTCTGAAAATTTATGGCTATTTAATTTTAAAAAATAAAATTTAAAAGTATTTTAACACGAGAAAAAAATTTAATACACTATTATTTATTAAAAAAAGTATTGGCAGACACATGACTTGACTAATCAAAGGTGAAAATAATTAATTTAGCATGAATTGAGAAGACATATTAAGGCATCATCATTAGTGATTTTTGGGAAATTTTTGCAGCAAGCAACTTTAATAAGAGTAATTTTTTTTTTGAGGTGTCAACTAGGAGAGAGAGGATGGAGAGAGAAGAAGACAAAAGAGGGGAAAAAAAAAAAGAAAAAAGAAAATTTGACACAAAAAAAGGAAGGAAAAAAAAAACAAGGCAGTTAATGCGCCATTCGGCGCGTGCACTGCATGTGCCCGGCTGGGCATTATATGTGTCTGAAACGCACACAAACACTACTAGAAATTATGGAATTTCCGACCACTTGAAAGTGATCTTAAATCAAGTCGAAAGCTTTGTTCCGACCACCTTTGGTATTCGGAAAAACCTTTATTGCTATTTCAGACCACTTTTTAATTTTAACTTGATTTAAGATTATTTTTAGGTGGTCGGAAATTTCATAATTTCCAACCGTGAAAGGAGCTGATTTTTACTTAGACAATCGGGCCCTACCATATGTAAATATGGCTTGAATTTGGTCGCGTGCGAAGCAACCATTGGCATAACATGTCTCATAGATGAGGAAGCCTAAGACATGCAGTGAGTTTTTGCCTTCATTATTAATACATAACAAAAATAGATAAAGATAAATTAGTCATTATTTATAAAACTCACTGCAAAAATTCATTTTAATACATAACAGCTCACTCTTGTATTGCAAATTTTATAAAAGAGATATAAATCCCAGGATATATTCGCTTATGGTCATGGACCCAAAGACTTGTAAACTATGTGGTATTACTAAACGGAAAGCAGTATGCACATATGCTCTCGTAATCATAACGTAATTCTTACCTTAAAAGTTCTAGAAATACAAACAGTTACAGTACATACTTTAATTTGTCTTTCATTGACTTCATATATAGTTCCAAGAAGGTATGCTGCGGATACCTTATACATGCATGCAGCCTTTGGCCTTTGCTGCACTATAAAAGGAGCTAAAACACCCAACAAACATACCAAGCCACTTAGCTAAAATTCACAACCAAGTGCAACCTTATACGCAGTATTATTATCCACTTGGTTTAGCTAATTAAAACCCTAGAAAATGAGCAGTGATAAGGTTCCTAAAGTAGCAGTGGCGGTTTTCATACTGAAAGGCGAGAAGGTGTTGGTCGGAAAGCGCCTCGCCGGTGCTGGCACTTCTTGTTTCTCCGTGCCCAGTGGTCACCTTGAATTTGGTACGTACCTTAATATATTCATTCGATATTAATGTTTTTTTTTAGTAACGAAGGAAACCTGTAATCACTGTCTAAAGACATTAGTAAACTTGGCCTTGTGACTGAATATATGTTCATTTAATTGCAGGGGAGGTTTTTGAAGAGTGTGCAGCAAGAGAGGTAATGGAAGAAGCAGGGTTAGAGCTGAAGAACATAGAGACTCTGAAGGTGATAAACCATGTGTTTCACAACGAAGCTAAACCATCCCACTACGTAGTACTCTTGATCCGAGCAGAACTGAGGGATCCTCATCAGATTCCAGAGAACGTTGAACCAGATTGTTGTGAGGGTTGGGATTGGTATGAGTGGAACCATATGCCAAAGCCTCTTACTCCTCCACTTGAAATCATTCTCAAATCTGGCTTCAATCCCTTCTCTGCCAACGTCCAGAATTAATGTTTCAATCCCTTCTCAGTTCTCAACAGACAATATAATGGTTGTTCACTTGTTGCCAACCTCATTTAATTTCAAATTTCATATAAAATAAATCCTATATATTTTCATAATATTTTTCTTTTCAATTTGAATGATATAAATGAACTGTATTGTTGTACGTAAAACAAGATGATATGATTTGAATGATGTATTGTGTTAGAAATCACTATTTTTAGTAAAAAATGTAGCTAAATCAAAGAGTATTGCTATGCTCATTTGGGCCATGCAATAACCGTCCAACCCGACTAACCTCTCCCACCCGAAACTCACCATGCACTCTGGGGTGGATATCCTAGTTTGAAGGGAAAATTCGAACCGTGATCCTTTATGTGTCAGATAATATAAAATCGGGTGGGTTTGGCAAATATTCACGGATCCTCGAAAATTCAAAATTATATATATAGACTTCTGCTCAAATGCGGTCTCGCCCGTGCTGTGAGTGCAGCCATTTAAACTTCTCCTATGTAATCTTTCATTGATATACTTTAAATTACTTATTTAAATACAAATATTGTGCATTAAATCAGCCGTGCAACAGAGACTTTGGGAATCCGGGAGGCATTGAGGTGGTTGAACGAGATGCAGGTGACGGTGGTGGATATTGAGATGGATGTGAATGTGGCGTTTGATGCTTTGCACGGGTGTGGTAGAGTCTATAGTTGATTTGCATTTCTATTTTGTTAAACGTTCAGCGAATCAGGTTGTCCATGTAGTAATTAGGGGATCTGGTTCTATGTCGGATCGTGTTGTCTTGTTTGATATTCCTCCTACTTTTATTGTAAGCGCTTTGGCTTTAAAAAAAAAAAAATCAATCGGGCGCAATGCACATGTAAAAACTAATAATATAAAAATGTTGAGCTACATATATTACAAAGGTTTTAAAAGTAGGTCCGTAAAATCCACAGATGGAATACAACCCCTTAATTCATTCTACAATTAAAACGAGCTGTAAAATTAATTGTTTAAATTTGATTATAATTCATTTTGCCTCAAGCCCTCAAATTTCATCACTCTACTGAGGCTCAACTCACGACCTCGAATATAAAAGTCCAATTCAAATGCCATATCTGCAAAAATTGATTCTGTTTAATCGCTCCGAAATTATTTTTGATTACCAAAATTCTATAAATCGCATACCATATATAATGTATAAAAAACACCAAACCAAACAACCCTCAAAACAATTTTTTTGTTTTAATATTTTTTTAAAAAACTGTTACCTGTTGTTTTCAAAAAAAAAAAAACTGTTACCTAAAATTGCGCAGCAATCGCCACTTGTAACCATCTCGCTTCCCCCTCCGCTCTCCTCTCCACGGTAAAGAAAATATATGACCTCAATTCATAAAGCCTAAGAGACGAGCTTCCACACTCACTTTCCTTCACAACCTCCACCTTCCTCTTCTCCACATACACGTACGCCATCTATACGTAACAATGACGGACATCACCGACGACATCGCCGAGGAGATATCGTTCCAGAACTTCGAGGACGACTGCCGCCTGCTCCAGAGCCTTCTCAACGATGTGCTTCAGAGGGAGTTGGGTCCCAAGTTCATGGATAAAGTTGAACGGACTCGTTGCCTCGCTCAGGTGTGTTTATTTGCTTTCATTTCCATCATCCTTCTGTTTCTGTTTTCTGTTTTCTGTTTATACGCGTTATTGTAGGTGATTTGGATCGGATTACTGTTTTTCGTGAATTATGTTAGCGTTGATTGATTTTGGATTTTATGATGGTTTGATTGTTTAATTTATTTCAGTCATAGATATTAGATGTAGATGATGCCTCACTGGACCTCTTTAGCTTCTGGTATGAGGCATAGTGTATGCTACATTCACGAATTTCACGTTATGTATTGAAATCATACTGGTCGATAGTATACATTATGCATGGCTACTCAATTTTCCATATACTTGCAGCTTTGTTTTCAACTTGTATGTAGTATCCAGTTATTGTCTGAACTTTTAGATTTTGATGTTTCACCGCGCTTTTGGTGCATACTTATGGAACAATGTTTATGAATTCAGAGTGCATGCAACATGAGAATAGCAGGGATTGAAGATACAGCATACCATCTGGAGAAACAATTGGCTTCAGAACTGTCTAAAATGACACTCGAGGAAGCTCTGTCGCTTGCTCGCACATTTAGTCACTATCTCAGTTTGATTGGAATTGCAGAAACTCATCACAGGTGATTTGCTGCTTGTTTAAATTGTTCAGTTCAATTCAATTTTTGTCCCATGCGTGGGAATGTTATTTGGTATTACAAGAAAATACTGCAAAATTAGAGCTTCAGTACTGGTTTTACATTCTCTTACTTTCAATTGCTATGTTACTCTTTCAGAATTTTTACATTTGCAACATTGTGAAATGCTTTTTCACCCGAGGATTTTTAGAGTTTTGACATATGCAGTACTGAAAAGCAACTCCTTTATTTTCCCTCTTTTTGTGGGTTTTCTCCTCTTGCCTATTCATAGTGATTTTCCCTAACTTTGCAGAAATTTCTGCCATGCTATATCAGATAGTTTAATCATTCTGTATGACAATTCTTCATTTATGTATGTAATACAAGTTGAGGAGTTTACTGAATCTGAAAAACAAACTGACATGTAATCTACCAGAGTGAGAAAAGGACGAGGTGTGCCACAGTTATCAAAATCTTGTGATGACACTTTCAGTCAACTACTTCAAAGTGGTGTTTCCCCTGATGAACTGTACAACACTGTTTGTAAGCAGGTGAGCAATGTTCTTTTTTGTTTTGCTTTTTAAAATAATTTTTACAGGTAAATTCTACCCTGAAGTTTATAGTATCTCATATTGATTGTTACTAGTTTACTACAAGATTTGTTGTTGACTTCTTTTTTCAGGAGGTTGAGATTGTACTTACTGCACATCCCACTCAAATAAACCGCCGTACCTTACAGTACAAACACATTCGAATTGCGGTACATTTTCTCTAGTATATTTCGTACTCACACAACTCTATAACTTAGAACTCAAAATCTCCCTCTGTTTTCAGTCTCAAGATTTTAATCTTTGCAGCACCTTTTGGAGTACAATGAACGACCTGATCTTGGAATTGAAGATCGAGATATGCTGATTGAAGATTTGGTGGGTGTTTTTCTTAGGGTGATTTGATACAAGGAAATCCTAAGAAGTCAAAGCTATTAGAAATTTCATTCATCTACTGTTTTTGTTGTTAATAGGTGAGAGAGATAACTTCAATATGGCAAACAGATGAGCTTAGGCGCCACAAACCCACCCCAGTTGATGAAGCCCGGGCTGGTAACCTATTGGGAAACTATAATAAATTTTGGCTTTATATATTTTTCTTCAAATTCCAGAAAGATAACCCCTGAAAACTTTCAGGCTTAAATATTGTTGAGCAGACACTCTGGAAAGCAGTGCCACATTATCTACGCCGTGTCAGCAATGCTCTGAAAAAGGTTATGACCACCATTCAAATTAGACCACCATATTGTTCTTCTTGTTATTTAGACCACCATTCAAATTAAATTTTAAGAAGTTTATGACAAGCCCGGCATTATTCTTTTCAGCATACTGGAAAACCTCTTCCAATGACATGCACACCAATAAAATTTGGGTCTTGGATGGGGGGTGATAGAGATGGAAATCCAAATGTGACATCAAAGGTAATGTTTTGAATGCTAATATCTCACTTGTCTTGTATGATGTTAACCTCTCCTACAATTCAGTCTAAATAGGAAGAAGCATACCCTGTTTTTAAAGGAAATGAATCCACTTGTTTTGTTTGGGAGAATATTTATAACAAAAAGAATAAAGATCTCTATAAATGAGGAATGGTTTAAATGCTCTTGCTTATCCCATTTTAGCTTATGAGCTTCTTCTCTTATTGTCATATCCTTATTTCTGTCAGTGAATATCCTGAATATCGAGTCCTCCAAAAACAAACAAACTTTTTGCACCAGCACATAAACATAGCGTGTTTAGTGGCTACTTTTTGTGGATTCCAACTTTCTTTTAATTTTTACAGTTTATTTTGCTACTGCTGTGTTACTATTGTTCAATTTAATATATGTTGTCGGCAAAAGCTAAAGAGAGGCTGGAATAGGCTGTAAGCCTCTCATAAAAACATGTCAACTGGAAGTTCCTATTCGTTGTCTTGTTCTTACACAAATGTCTTTCTTTTGTTTTAGGTCACAAAAGATGTCTCTCTTTTGTCCAGATGGATGGCCATTGATCTCTATGTAAGAGAAATTGATACTCTCAGGTTTGAACTTTCAATGAACCAATGCAGTGACAGATTATCAAGATTGGCACATGAAATCTTAGAAAAAGGTCTGCCTTGTGAATCCTTTTCTTTTGAAACTTTGCTTAGAGGCACTTGGATATGGTAGATTAATTACTGAAGGTGCAAAGTGTAGTATTAAGGTATTCAACTTAGATTGTAAATTAAGATTAGGATTCATCAATGTGGTTAGGAAAGTAAATACTATTGAATTAGATGTATCTCCAGATTTAATAGATGGTTAGTGGTAGTGTGGGTCAAACCTCTACCAAAAGAGAGTAAAATAGTGGTAAATTTTCAAATGTCAAATTTGACCTAAATGAGCAGCCAACCTAACCTGTGTTTTGATTGTTACATGAACCTTGCTCAGAAAATGCAGCTGAGGATCGTAATGACAGGAATCAGCCTTCAATTTTGAGTCAGTCGAAACACCAGGCCCCACATGCTCTACCTTTTCCTTCGCAGCTCCCAACTGGAGCTGATCAACCCTCTTTTACAGGTTTGGTTCTGTTTTTGTGAGTTCTGTTTCAAGAAACAAACATGACCATACTTGCAAGGTGCTGGATTAATTCATAGTTCCAGGGTGAAAGCTGTCATCAGTGTAACACCTCAAACCAACATTTGTTACCTGACTTACCTCTTACAGACTCAAAACTCTGTAGATCTTAAATGGCTTGAATAGTAGGGGCAGTAAAGATGAATCATATTTTCATTGGTTATTTATCTGCCCATTTCAGTTGAGTCTCGCTATCCTCGGTTGGATGTTCCTGGGACGGAATTCAAGCCAATAAATCGTCAGGTGAAGCTGTTTCTGCAACACCTTTGATTTACATGTGTATACACACACAAATGAACACATTGTTGCATGCTATGTTATCAAATGGGCACTTATATTTTTATCTTACCTCTATGTTTTGAATGTCATGCACATCCTTCTACAGGATGGTCAAGCTCCTCCTCCAAGAGCTCTTTCTTCTGATTCCCTTATCCAAAAAGCAAATATAAATGGCAATGCTCCTGCTCCAGCAGTTACACGCGTTGCTTCCTTTAACTCCAGTCAGATTGCTGCTCAAAGGAAGCTTTTTGCTGAATCTCAGATTGGAAGAACCAGCTTTCACAAGCTTCTGGAACCAAGCTTGTCTCAAAAGCCTGGAATGGCCCCTTACAGGATTGTCCTTGGAGATGTAAAAGAAAAGGTACCAACACAAGAAATGGGTGGAATCTTTAAATAATGTTTTTGAAATTTTGAAATTAACACTGAGGAATTGTAGAGAAACATTGTTACAATTTGGTGGGGTCAAACCAGTTATATTCTCATGGCTTAGCTATGGTGCTATGACTGTGAAAATGTTTTACCAGACAAATGAAGATAAAATGATTCTCAAAGATGATGTTAACAGTTGACTAACTTGAAGATGTTGAGGTAAAGGAGACTGGCTATCACCTAAATTAAAGTGCAGAACACTATTTATAAAATGGGCAAATACTATTGTCTTTTGAATTGATTTTTGACAAGTTTAACTTCCAGCTTCATTGAATAATAAATGCATTTAAGGTTTAACAAGTGAGGATTTTCATTATTCCATGTGCGCTTTCCTTGCAAACTATGCCTTTTGCAATGGTAAAGCATGAGTTTACATATTCAGAAATTTCAGTCTTGAGCTGTGCTCTGTTTGTGTCATTCAGTTGCATAATATATCCTTTTCGTAACCAGCTCCTGAAGTCACGGAGGCGGCTTGAACTACTACTTGAGGATCTTCCTTGTGAGTATGATCCTTGGGATTATTATGAAACATCAGATCAGCTTCTTGAACCACTACTACTGTGCTATGATTCACTGGTAAAAATGAGATCTCTTTGCATTCTCAATAATGCCTTTCCTTTATTTCTTCCTTCTATGAAGATACGAATGATCATCAGCATAGTTATTTTTTTTGTCATAGACCAAAAGACTAAATCACTATTTTATGCAGCAATCATGTGGATCCGGGGTTCTAGCAGATGGTAGGCTTGCTGACTTGATCAGGCGACTTGCTACTTTTGGGATGGTATTGATGAAGCTTGACCTTCGTCAGGTATACAGCATGATATTCTTGTTCTTCTTTTTAATATATTATTATTATTATTATTATTATTATTATTATTATTTTGCCAAGGTACTTTAGGGGGAATATATCCTTACAGTTTCTGTAATGCACCAGGAATCTGCCCGGCACTCTGAGACGCTTGATGCAATTACCGGATACCTAAACATGGGTACATATAGTGAATGGGATGAAGATCGTAAGCTGGAATTTCTGACTAGAGAGTTGAAAGGGAAGAGGCCTTTAGTCCCTCTAAATATAAAGGTTGTGTGCTTGCATGAGATTAAAATACATGCCTTTGCTCCATATATATTCCATTGTTGCAAAATTCGGTCTAGGCGTCCCTAGACTGTGGCAATTTCTCCCTTAGGCGCTCGTCTAGGCAACAGGCCGCCTTGCGCCTAACTCGGCCAACTCGATCGAACTTGGCCAAGTTAACTCGTCCATTTCGATCTAGTTGCCGAGTTAACCCGCGGTCGGCTCGGCCTTCCTATATATATATATATATATATATATATATATATATATATACACCCGCACATGTGCACTGCTTCCATTTTTTTAGTTAGCCGCATAGGCGCCGCCTAGACCGCCTAGGCGCTAGGCACTACTTTACCGCCCGACTAGCGTCTAGTGCCTACTGCAACCATGACTATGAGTCATAATAACTAGAAAACAAACTAAATGACACAAACACAAACTCCACTTCCTATGAAAAGGTTATATTGTAAGAAAATTTGCAATTCCTTCTTTCTAAGTACCCAACCCCCACTTTCTGCTTACCTCCTTGTCATTCAAGCATCACCCAACTGTACAGGTACAGACTTCTGTTACAGCTATCGTTTCACTGATGGTTTCACTTAGTAAAGAGCTGTTTTTCTAGTGTTAGGATTTCTACTTTGTCCACTTAAATAACTTTTTTAACATCACAATGTTTTATTATTATTTTTTTTTTCTTTTTCTATTTTCTTGTAAAGGTTGCTCGTGATGTCAAAGAAGTCTTGGACACCTTTAGGGTTGCAGCTGAATTAGGGAGCGACTCACTTGGAGCGTATATTATCTCCATGGCCTCAAATGTATGAACATGTACTCTCATGTATTTTGGTGTTGTTGTTATTATCATCATCATCATTACATATTACAGATGCATGCATACATGATTACAAACTTTATATGGAGTATTATTATTATTAATTATTAATGTTGTTTTTATGCATTACACACACTTCTTTTCCCATAACAAAGACACTACCAGTATGGCAGTATTAATGTTTGCATAAATCTGCTTATTTGTAGGCTAGTGATGTCCTTGCTGTGGAGCTTTTACAGAAGGACGCACGCCTTGCTGTTGCTGGTGAACTGGGCAAACCATGTCCTGCTGGAACGTAAGAGTGAATTGTTACTTTGTTGTGGTATCAATAATTAACTTTAGACAAAAATTGCTCCTATCTCTGTTTATTCCTCCATGAGACTGATGATACAGGATAGATAATAGCTGAACTTATCTAATTCAATTCTTAATCACAAACTAGTTTAATTTGGTCATATGATTCTATTGAAATAGACTTCGGGTGGTTCCCCTGTTTGAGACTGTGAAGGACTTGAGGGAAGCTGGGTCAGTAATAAGGAAATTACTATCAATTGATTGGTACAGAGAGCACATTATAAAGAACCATAATGGGCATCAAGAGGTACCTTACCTATATATCTTTGCGCATTAATCAATCAATTTACTATATTGGTTTCATTTCCTGCTTTCTGTGCATAGGTGATGGTTGGCTATTCTGACTCTGGGAAAGATGCTGGCCGCTTTACTGCTGCATGGGAGCTATACAAAGCTCAAGAAGATGTTGTTGCTGCATGTAATGAATTTGGTATTAAGATCACTTTGTTCCATGGCCGTGGAGGAAGCATTGGCCGTGGTGGTGGTCCAACATATCTTGCCATCCAGTCCCAGCCACCTGGTTCCGTTATGGTTAGTCTGTCTGTCTACCAGCATTCAAACTGCATGATACTTTAATTACTCTTAGATTTTCTGATTGTTATGGCCAAGAACTTATTTGGCTAATTTTTTGATGATAAAATCAACAGGGTACACTCCGGTCAACTGAACAAGGAGAAATGGTTCAGGCAAAATTTGGACTACCTCAGGTGGCTGTTCGGCAACTTGAGATCTACACAACAGCAGTGCTACTTGCTACCTTACAGCCACCACAACCACCTAGAGAACAAAAGTGGCGCAGTTTAATGGAAGACATCTCAAATATTAGTTGCAACAGTTACCGAAGCACAGTGTATGAAAACCCAGAGTTCCTCACTTACTTTAATGAAGCTACACCTCAGGCTGAGCTTGGCTATCTCAATATTGGAAGCCGACCATCACGAAGAAAGAGCTCAGTAGGCATTGGGCATCTCCGTGCAATTCCATGGATATTTGCATGGACCCAAACCCGATTTGTTCTTCCTGCTTGGCTCGGAGTGGGAGCAGGCCTGAAAGGGGTTTGTGACAAAGGACATACCAACGACTTAAAAGAAATGTACAAAGAATGGTCCTTCTTCCAGTCCACAGTTGATCTCATAGAGATGGTTTTGGGAAAGGCAGACAGCCCCATAGCAAAGCATTATGATGAAGTCTTGGTGTCTCCAAACCGGCAAGCACTTGGTTCAGCACTAAGGAGCGAACTTCTGTCAACAGAAAACTATGTGTTATTGGTCACTGGACATGGGAAGCTGTCTGACAACAACCGGAGTCTGCGCAGGTTGATTGAGAGCAGGCTTCCGTATCTGAATCCTCTGAACATTCTTCAGGTGGAGGTATTAAAGAGGTTGAGGCGCGATGATGATAACAACAAACTTCGAGATGCGTTGCTTATTACCATCAATGGAATTGCTGCTGGCATGAGGAACACTGGCTAAATTCTAGTCGACCGGCCTATTGCAATGACACATATAACAGGGTAGATAACCGATGCGGTTATCATGAGACTACTCAACTAGTTAGTGATGAACATCTAGTAGATATATAATATATATATGCTTCCACATTCATTCATCTGCTTATAAGATGATATGATCGTTGTTGATCTTGATATTGTACGGTTTTGGCGTCTTCAAATGTGTTTTTTCCATTAATTAAGATTATATATGCAGTTCCATTCGAAAGAATAACTGAGTGCTCTAGCTTTCGTGGTTTAATTTATACCCACTGCTGTTGCCTTTTTCATTTATTTTCTTTATCTTGTGACAAAATGTAGAATCACTTGAGTCATTGGTGAGATTTGATCCTTGGTCTCTTGTAAAATATTTTACCTCTGCAATAAGTTGTATTGCTAATTCTTTATAACATGAATGTGTGTTTTTCTTTTATCTTCTCTTTTTTCTTTTTTCCCTGTTAATTTTGTGGAATCGTTATGCCTTTTTGGAATTGATGTACCTGTGTTAGAATTTAATTCGCGAATTGCTAATAGTTTCTTTAGATTTCAAAAGTTTCGATTCCTTGTGAATATATGTGATGTCCAAATCTGTTATGGTCCTTCAAAGTCAATGCTAAAACTTTGGACCACATTGGAATTGATAACCAAAAATCCCCTTAATCCACCTTTTTTATTGTTGCATCATTCTCACCACCTTTTTCAAACACTCTACTTGTTCTTTCATGGAAATTGGTTTAGTCATGAAGTAAATCAGAATCATCTATCGTACCATAATAGATAAGCATTTAAATATATATTTTCCCAATGTCTCAATCAAGAACACCTTGATCGAACCCTTATTTAGGACATGGTGGCTGGTAGTTTGTAAGCCCCAAACAAGCAAACTGATTAATCAATAAAGTGGTCTTAATCAAAAGGTACTTTTATAAGATAATGTGGTATTTTTACGGTTTTTGAGGATTCAATTCAAGCAAATTGATGAATATTTATATAAAACCCACTTCAAGTTTTTAAGCCAACAAACATGGCATGGTTGCATGGACCTGGAGCAAAGCAGGTGAACTCAGAGTCGGCTCCGGAGTCGACTACGTTGTGGAGGTGTGAAGGCCAGGGGCGAACTTGAGAGGATGCAATTCAAGATTGGCATCGAGGTCGGTGTCTGCGCATGGGGTCTCTGTTAGCAATATTAATATTTTATGTGTATATTAGCAATATTATTGGTTGTATTTTAGTCAATAGTCCTAGCCTGAATAGTTTATGTTATTTCTCCTATAGGACTCTAGCGTTCTCAGCTCTGTAATCTGATTGAATTTATTATTTTGAATTTGAAATCCCATCTCATCTGGTATCAGTTGCGATAGGACTGCGATTCTCTTTCATATTCGTTTCCGCTCTCTCTCACCACTCTATCGATGGCTTCGAATTCATCCGAACAACCAATCATCCCCGCCGCACCCAATGTGCCGGCGACACCAAACCCGCTCTCAGCTGCGCATCATTTTGTTTCTATGAAATTAACAACGCGCAATTACCTCTTCTGGAGAACACAACTTCTCCCTTTTCTCCGTGGCCGGACTACTGGGATATATTGATGGCAGTCTCCCGTGTCCTCCGGAGACTATCTCTGTCACCTTGGCCTCCGGTGATGCCGCGGCAACGACAACCACGACTCTGAATCCCGCGCATGCTGCCTGGGTCCAACAGGACCAATCAATTTTATCACTGCTGATTTCCTCATTCTCGGACGAAGTCATGCATCACGCGCTCGGCCGGAACACCGCCAAAGAAGTCTGGGAGTCGGTCACATCCGCATTGGCATCAACTACCCGAGCCCGCTGTCTGAGTCTTCTCGGGCAGTTTCAAACTTTGCGCCAGGGAGGAAGCTCACCGGCGAAATATCTTGGCAAAGCCCAGACTATTGTTGAAGCACTCGCGCTGGCCGGACGGCCTCTGTCTTCGGATGAACAAATCCTGTACGTGCTGCGTGGACTACGGCCAGAATTCCGAGCGATGGCCAGCTCGCTCACTGTCTCCGGCAGCCCCGTCTCCTTGTCACAACTCGCCGATCATCTACAGGCGCAGGAGTTTATCCACTCCGATGACTTTGCAGTCGAGTCCGGCGCAGGAGGTAGTCCGTCGGCGTTCTTTGCGGGGCGTGGCAGAAATAGCGGCTATCACGGATCGGTTGGCCGCGGTGGTTCCGGCGGCCGCGGACGGCATGGTCGTGGCAGGGGGAACAACAACGGCCGAGGGCGCGGCGGCACACCCCGTTGCCAAATCTGCAGATCACACGACCATACGGCCGTGTATTGTTTTAAACGATATACGGAGCGTCCACAACCGAATGCAGGTCAGGCTAATATTGCAGTGGCCGGTGAACCTCAGGTAGCCGATGCCTGGTACCCGGACACGGGTGCCTCGTCTCATGCAACTCCAGATGAACAGATGTTGCACCATTCCGAGGCGTACAATGGCGGGGACGTACTCAAAGTTGGCAACGGCGCAGGTTTGGATGTTTCCCATGTGGGTCATGCAGTAATCCCATCCCGGTCTAAAAATCTACAAATGTCAAATATCTTACATGTCCCGAATCTGACTTTACCATTGCTTTCTGTTTATCGTTTTGCTAATGAAAACGATGTGTTTTTCGAATTTCATAAAGATTTGTTTCTTGTGAAGGATTCCAGCACCCAAACAATTCTACTTAAAGGGCCAACCTCGGGCGGGTTATACAAGCTACTGGTTCCCCGGTCTCACTTTGCGTTTCTCTCTGCCCGAGCGTCGTCACAGGTGTGGCATCAACGGTTGGGTCACCCTCAACATGAAGTCCTCCAGCGTGTCTTAAAAAGCTGCTCAGTTTTGCCAAATAAAACAAGTTAGTCAATAATGTGCACCGCATGTCAACTCGGAAAATCAGCACGTTTTCCACTAGATAGAGTTTCAAACACTAGTCAAAATATTTTAGATTTATTGTACACGGACATCTGGGGTCCGTCTTCTGTTATTAGTAATTCGGGTTTTCGTTACTTTGTCCTTTTTGTAGACGATTACTCGCGGTTTTGCTGGTTTTATCCGCTAAGATTAAAATCATACATATATAAAACGTTCAATTTATTTCGGGCAATGGTAGAACGACGGTTTTCCCGTTCTATCAAAGCCATTCAGTCTGACTTGGGCGGCGAATATCGCCGATTACACACAGTTTTCTAGTCTCTTGGCATAACTCACAGGCAGTCTTGCGCCTATACACACGAACAAAATGGTCGTGTTGAGCGCCAAAACCGACACATTGTCGAAACCGGCTTAGCTTTATTACCTGAAAGCTCAACTCCCCTTCAATATTGGGATTATGCTTTTCAAACAGCAGCCCATTTAATCAACTACTTGCCATCTTCAGCCATACAGTTTCAAACGCCCTATTCCCGTTTATATAACACCCAACCCACATATAACTTTTTCCGTGTCTTCGGTTGCCGCTGTTATCCCTATTTGCGGCCCTACAATCGCCATCAAATGGAATATCGGTCGGCACCATGCGTCTTCTTAGGTTACCCAGTCTCTTATAGGGGGGTACCGCTGCTTAGACTTATCCACGGGAAAGATCTTTATCTGCCGTCATGTCCGGTTTGATGAGTCCACTTTCCCCTTTTCTATGCAGGCTTCTCTACAGGTTACTGATGAGTAACCTATCAATACACCCTGGGGTTCAAGTCCTGTTGTTGTTAATACTCCGGCTCCACCACCGCCAATGGAGTTACCCATGGCACAGGAACCGCCTCAAATGGCTATAGAGGCTGCCCCAGCTCCAACTCGGAGAAAACGGAGGACCACTACTAAATCATCCCAGAGCGAAGGGCATGTCATGCGCACTCGGCGTAAGACTCATGGAACAGATGAGCAGTTTCAGGCACTCACTGTCACCACGGATCCCACATGTTACTCCTAAGCAGTTGGACATCCGCAATGGTGGGATGCCATGTACCAGGAGTTTAATGCACTACTGCATAACAACACCTGGAACCTGGTCCCGGCAACGCCGCACATGAATGTCATAGGCTGCAAGTGGGTTTTCCGCACCAAGCGTAAAGCTGATGGCTCAATAGAGCGCTACAAAGCGCGCCTGGTTGCCAAAGGGTTCAACCAAGTGGCTGGTGAAGATTTTTTTGACACATTCAGTCCGGTTGTTAAACCAACCACTGTTCGCATATTATTTTCTCTTGCAGTGTCTCACAAATGGACCATGCGACAACTTGATGTCCACAATGCCTTTCTAAATGGGCATCTATCCGAGACGGTTTACATGAAGCAGCCACCGGGATACGAGGATCCTGCACATCCGGATCACGTGTGCCACTTACAGCGTTCTCTTTATGGCTTAAAACAGGTTCCTCGGGCTTGGTTCAAGCGACTACATGAGTTCCTAATATCAACAGGTTTCCTTGCCTCCAAAACTGATGTGTCGTTATTTCACTACACCGACGGTGATTCCAGGGTGTTCTTACTCGTCTACGTAGACGATATTATTATGTTCGGCAACGACTCAGCGTTAATTGATTCCCTTTTACGGCGTCTCTCATCTACGTTCAAGATCCGGGACTTGGGCAAGCCCACCTTCTTCCTAGGCATTGAGACTTTGTCTGATGATGGTGGCTTCCTATTGTCTCAACGGAGGTATATGGCTGATGTTCTCTCACGTGCGGGTATGACCGACTGTAAACCCTTGGCTACTCCGGCTGCAGTCACTCAACCGGCTACACCAACACTTGACCCGTTCGACAATCCGACTCAATACCGCCGGATAGTAGGGGCTCTGCAGTACTTGACCATTACTCGGCCAGATCTTTCATTTTCAGTTAACAGGCTTTGTCAGTTCATGCATTCCCCCACACAGGATCATTGGGGTCTTCTCAAACGTGTCCTCCGGTATGTAAAAGGCACTCTCGACTACGGGCTACGTCTATCTCCATCATCATCTTCCGCTATACATGCGTTTTCAGACTCAGATTGGGCCGGCTGTACTATAGACCGAAAATCCACCTGTGGTTATGCGGTCTTCCTTGGGACTAACCTCATCTCCTGGCTATCTCGGAAGCAGCGCACGGTTGCACGCTCCTCAACAGAGGCCGAGTACAAAGGTCTTGCCGACGTAGCTGCTGAAGTTACCTGGGTCGTATCCTTACTCCGGGAGTTGGGTCTACATACTGGAGATCCCGCTACATTATGGTGTGATAATCTAGGGGCAACATACTTAGCCGCTAATCCTGTGTTCCACGCCAGAACGAAGCATGTCGAGATTGATTTTCACTTTGTCCGCGATAAAGTTTCTTCGGGGGAGTTCGTCGTCAACTTCATTTCAACCAAGGACCAGCTTGCTGACATCTTCACCAAACCCCTTCCAGCTCCGCGTTTTCATACTCTGAGGGACAAGCTCAATGTGGTTAGCATCCACCCTTGTGCTTGAGGGGGTGTGTTAGCAATATTAATATTTTATGTGTATATTATGCTTTAATATTATTGGTTGTATTTTAGTCAATAGTCCTAGCCTGAATAGTAGGAGACTATTATGTTATTTCTCCTATAGGACTCTAGCGTTCTCCAGCTCTGTAATCTGATTGAATTTATTATTTTGAATTTGAAATCCCATCATCTCAAGGTCAGTGTGTCCAAGATCTTGATGTCTGGGATTGATCACCGAAGTTGGCTAGGGGACTTTAGGGTCGACCTCCGGGGTCGGTTTACGGGATCGACCATGACGGTTGTTGGATAATGACTTGAGTAGCCGGTGACTGAATCATACAAAAGTTAGACAGTTAGTATAAATAGTCGAGTCATTGTCTAGTTTATGATACACTTTATTTCGTTCTAACATTCTAAATTCTCTGTGTCCTCCGAATACATTCGTTGTCATTCCTATTTCATTAATCTTATTAAGTTAATTGCACTTTTCGTCCCTAAATTATAGGGTAATTGTAGAATTCGTCCTTGAGTGTTGGTCATGTTTACTTTTTGTTCCTAAGTTATCAATGGCGTTGCACTTTTCGTCCCGGAGTTGATAATTATAAGATTTGTCCCTAATTGTTGGTCAGGTCATACTCACTTTTCGTCCATAAGTTATCGTTGACGTTGCATTTTTCGTCCCTTTAATAATAAAACATTCACTTCTACAAAACATAGCTACTACGGCCTTTTTTTTTACACATACACGGCGATTTTCGAAGTGTTGCGCGTGTAAGTGATTATCGTTGTAAATATACACTTTCTACAGCGGTTTTGAAAACCGTCGTGTATGTTAACTATATACGGCGGTTAAACAACTGTCGTGTATGTCAACTATATACGACGGTTATTTAATACTGTCGTCTATTAAGTGACGTAGTATAACACAATATATTGGACAGCGGTTATTTAAAAAACCGTTGTCTATTAAGTGAAGTAAAAATATTAATTAGGGTATATACGACGGTTATTTAAAAAACCGTCATCTATTAAGTGACGTAGTATAACAAAATATATTAGATGATGGTTATTTAAAAACCTCCGTCTATTAAGTGACGTAGTATACCATTTATGTAGTAGTGATTAGGATGAAATTTGCAATTTTAGTATAACTTAGGATGAAAAGTGCAACGCCAATGATAGCTTATTAGGGAGAAAAAGTGAGCATGATCAACACTTAGGGATGAATTCTACAATTACCCTATAACTCAGAGACGAAATGTGCAACGCCAATGATAACTTAGAGACAAAAAGTGAGCATGACCAAATTCTACAATTACCCTATAACTTAGGGACGAAAAGTGAAATTTTCCCTTAATTAATTCAAGCTCCGATTAATTTTTTCAATCACCAAAATAGTAATTCAAAACTGCAAAGGTTAAGAAGCAACACACTACAAGAAAAATGCACAGAGACAACTGTTTTTATTGAACTTTTTAATCGTTGTCTGCAGTGGCGGAGCCGGGATTTTTCTTCAGTGGGGGCGAAGAAGTAAGGAGAAAATAAATTCAAAAATGTTCAAATACAAATAAGATTGTTAAAATACAAAATAAATTATAAATTACAATACAAGGTTTGATGAACTACGTGATAATACTCTTCTACGGTCTCTCATATTTTGAAATCGTTGTAGAACTGCTTCATTTGAAACTTGATCAAAAATATCTTTTTCAACATACGGCACTAAGCAATCATTTAATAAATCATCGCCCATTCGGTTGCGTAAAGATGTCTTGATTAACTTCATAGCAGAAAATGCTCTTTCCACACTAGCAGTTGCAACCGGTAGGATCAAAGACAACTTTAAGCAAATACACCATCGTATAGTCCAAATGTCTTCCCGTTTCCACCATTTTTTTTTAGCTAAGTCATCAATACCATCCAATTTAGAGAAAGCAGGATTAGAAGTTACATCAATATAATAAGTTGTAGTTGGTTATCTAGTAATTGAACTTCAAGATCAGAAAAATCATTTGGATAAAACTATGCCAATTGAACTAATTTATCCTTATCAAACCTAGCAAATGAATTCTTTAGATCAAAACATGTCACGCATAAGAGCAACTCTGTATTCTTTTCATTGAAACGATTGTTTAACTCCTGGAGTTGTAGATCTAAAACCGCATAAAACCTTTCAACACGGTACCTATGAAGATGAGTCATTTCTTCAGCTTTACGGCGAGGTCTTCCTGGAACTACATAAACTTCATCCAAATTAGGTATGGGAATTGAATGCTTGTTGCAAAAGAGTGAAACTTCTTGTAAAAGAGCTTCCCACCCATCATCTCTCATCATTTGCAATCTTTTTTTTGAGATATCAACTAGTCTCATGGCATTCACAATGTTTTGATCTTTCTTTTGTAGTGCCTGTAACAAATCATTGGTAATTCCTAAAACATCCCTCATTAAGTGCAACAAGAACAAAAAATCAAAACATAAGATATTCTTCAATACTCTAAATGCTTCGTCTTTTGTTTTGGATCCTGCCTTATTTCGTCAAGAACATCAATCACTGGAGAAAATAATGTGATAATGCTCAAAAGTGCATCGTAATGAGATCCCCAACGTGTATCACTAGGACATTTTAAAATTGTTTCTTGATTCAAACCAGTTCCCGTTTCAATTGTATCATCAGAAATTGAATCAATCAACATCTTGAATTGTTTGTCTCGTAAGCTATCCATGCGCTTACATGAAGCACAAACAATATTGCACAATTGCGAGATAGTGAAAAAAAAAATTCTCCAACTTCTTCATTTTCCTTTGCAACACCCACAAGTGCTAGTTGTAATTGATGAGTGAAACAATGAACATAAAAAGCACTTGGATTCTCATTCATAATCAAAGTCTTAAGACCATTGAACTTACCTCGCATATTACTTGCTCCATCATAGCCCTGGCCTCTTATTCTTGAAATGCTTAATCTATGCCTTGTTAGAAGATCTTCAATGGCTACTTTAAGAGACATAGAAGTAGTGTCACAAACATGAGTAATGCCAAGAAGACGCTCAACAATATGCCCACTTGAATCCACATACCGAATAAACACAATCATATGCTCCTTAACTGATATATCTCTCGACTCATCAACTATTATTCCAAATAATTCTTCACCAAGATCATTGATTATTATTTGAGTTACCTCACTTGCAATTGCATTAGCTATATCTTTTTGAATGCAAGGTGCAGTCATTTGGTGATTTTCAGGTGCATTTTGCAACACAACTTTGGCAATATTTTCATTATTATTAGCAAGTAACTTTAAGCCCTCAAGAAATTTTCCTCAATTAAGTGAGTCATAGCTTTCATCATGTCCACGAAAAGCAAGTCCTTGCCTTAAAAGATACCAGATGATTTCAACTGATGAAGCCAATCGAACACGATAGTCTTGTTTCGATTGCTCCGACTGTTTTGATACACAAACTTGTATGTGTTGCTCTTGAGTCATTAAGTCTCGACAAGCTTGTACGTTCCTTGCGTGAACACTATTATGATTACCAACATGTGCACGCAACCTTTCAGGTCCTTTTTTCCAATTGTTGAATCCTTCTGTAATAAATGACTCTCCTCCTGCTTGTTGTCCGCTGCTTCCATCTTTGAATAGATAACAACATAAACAATATGCTGCATCTTCTGATACACTATACTCCAACCAATTACTATGATCTTTAAACCATTTAGGATTAAACCTCCTAATGACACCCGTAATCACACTAGTAGGAAAAACATGATTTTTTGGTTGACAGGGACCCATTTGTAGATATCTTCTTCGCACAATATCCCTATCATTGATATGATATTCATAAACGATTTTCCTTTTAGCCGGATCAACTTCAAGTTCATCTATGTTAACTTCAATACGCGGCCTTATACTTGACACTTCGCGACTACCGTGACTAGATGAATCCTCAAAAGTTGATTTTCTTTTAAAGAATTTTTTCATAACTGAACCAACATAATTAAGTAATTAAATTAACATAAGCATCTTACTAGTATTTACAATTATCAAGTAATCAATTAGTAATTAGTTATCAACAAATAACAAATAACATAACAAATCAGGATGACAGTATTTACAGATTAACAAATAACATAAGCAAACTAGTAATTAACAGATTAAGTAATTAGTAATTAACTAGGATAATCCACACTTAATAAATAGTAATTAATAGATTATCAATTGAATTAGGCAATTAATAGATAATAGATTATCGCAGAGGACGTGTTCGCAAATCGCAATTGCAGAGGAAGAAATGCGGCGTAGTCTTAGGAGAAGTGGAGAACAATATATATATATATATATATATATATATATATATATATATATATATATATATATATATATATAAAGACGTCGTTTTGGGACTGGGTAATTTTGGTCAGTGGGGGCAGCTGCCCCCACTGCCCACATGTTCCCTCCGCCCCTGGTTGTCTGTTAGGTAAAAAATATATTATTGAAACCATTGTCGTTGTAAGTCATGCTCAAAGACAATAGTTTTTAACCATTTTCTTATGTATCAAAGACAATAGTTAAAACTCGTTGTCTATTGATTGTTATTGAAACCGTAATCATGCACATAGACAACGGTTTTTAACCATTGTCTTATATATCAAAGACAACTGTTAAAAATCATTGTCTATTGAAATGTTGTTGAAACCATTGTTATAAGTCACGCGCATAGAAAACAGTTTTTAACCGTTGTCTTATATATCTAAGACAATGGTTAAAACCGTTGTCTATTGAAGTGTTGTTGAAACAGTATTGTTGAAAGTCACGCGCATAGAGTATAAACAACAATTTTTAACTGTTGTCTTATGGTCATGGGTTCAATCCCCAATAGGGGAGGTATTGACTCTTTGTGGTTCATTAAATTTTCATTACTAAGATAAATAATTAATTTCATGTACTTTGCTTTTGTTGCTAAGCATTTGCTTGGAAACTTTGCAATGTATTTTATTGGATAATTTTATTGCTATGTATTTGCTAGGAAACATTCCTATATATTTAGTTGGATACTTTATATTTGTATATTATTACGGAGTCTTAATAATTTATTTTTGGATTGTTTAATTATAGCTACATGAGAAAATAATACAAAGGAATTAGCCATTCCAAACAGTTTCGGTATGGTGGACAAGGGCAATAGAACATGTGTTTTTAGAGATACTTGCTGAAGAAGCTAAACATCCAAATAATCTAACATCTACTTCCAAATTGGCTTCCTTAAACCATGTTGCATCAAGTATATCAAAAAAGTTCAACGTCACTTGCTAGCACAAGCATGTTAAAAATGATTTGAAAATCGTCAATTAAAGCACATGTATGATGATTTACAAACTTAGGGGGTGTTCAGTTGGATGAAAAACATTTTCCATGGAAAATGTTTTCCTAAAAGTGAAGGAAAATGATTTTTTATGTTGTTTGGTTGGATGGAAAACATTTTCCATTGGAAAAGTTTTCCTTAAAAATGAGGAAAACAAATTCCTTACCTCATCCTAGGTATTTTGTTTTCCATGAAAAACTGATATGACAATTTTACCATCACCGTTCTTTATTAATTACTCTTATTATTATATTATTATTATTATTATTATTATTATTATTATTGTGTAGGGTTATATTTGTCATTATACTCATTATTCCTTACCATTCCAAACTCAACCAAACAATGAAATTCATATTCCCAGTAATTTCTTTTCCACCAACCAAACAATGGAATCTATTTTCTTGGAATTTATTTTCCATGGAATTTCAATTTCATTTCCCTTCAAATATTTTCTAGCGAACCAAACGAGCTGTCTAGAGAGTTAAGTGGAGTTGGATGATGATGATGAATAGATAGATGATTATGTTGGGAAATTTGCAGAAACAATGTCGTAGATTGGCACTACTGTGGATGGTTAAGTTTCGACATAAAACAAACTCTGAAAGGGCGTAAAACTAGGAAATAAAATAAGGAACGAGCACAAATCTGGCCCCATCACACCGCGCGTGCGGGCGGCGGCGGCGCGCGCGTGTGGGGTTCCCCTTTCCTTTTCCCTCCACAATAATTCAAATGCTCCAAAGTTATCCAATAAAAGGGGGAAAAACTCTCCTGTGAAAGCAATGTGGGACAAGTGGTATATGAAAAATCACTTCTACACATGGTTGAACGGAAATACTCCACAATCCCCCACACATTCAACTAGGTGTAGAATAAAGAAATGTCTGAGCTAGATATGAGAACTGATCTTAATGCCATTGTTTTTTTAACTTGAACTGACACGTAGTGACTTGAGTAACTTTCTTCTTAGTAGTGAATTAGATCTTGAACTAGCTAAGAAGAGACAGTTTTGAACTCATGTTCACACATCAGTGCCCATTATGCAAGTTCTTCGAAAGTCAAACTCTTTGACTTGTGATCTACCTTTGTATAGATCTGTTTTAGGTGTCTATGAGCACATAAACTTTTGCTTACTTTGTTGTTATTAGGCCCATCTCTTTTGATGTTTCAAGGATGGCTCTTCTGTTTAGTCCATTTGTGAGAGGATTTGCAATATTCCTCTCGGACTTTACATATTCTAATGTGAGTACACCGTTCACAATCAACAGCCTTACAGACTCATGTCTGACTCTTATGTGCCTTCTCTTTTCATTATAGGCACTATTTTTTTCCACGCATGTAGCAGTTTGTGAGGCGCAATGTATGGGCATTGATGGTGTAGAACACCCCCACAATGGCACGTCTACCAGTAGGTTTCTTAGCCACTCGACTTCTTGCCCAACTAGATCAAGAGCTATAAACTCAGCCTCCATCGTTGATCTAGCTATACACAACTGTTTCATGGATTTCCACGATATAGCACCTCCACCCATGGTAAACACATACCCACTAGTGGAGCTCACATCATCACTATCATTTACCTAGTTAGCATCGTAGTACCCCTCTAGGGATGCAGGGAATCCAGCATAATGCAGTCCTCAATCAATTGTTCCTCTTAGGTAGCGTAGCACTCTCTTCAGTGCATGCCAATGAGCGTCACTGGGATTATGAGTATATCGACTGATTCGATTTACCGTGAGAGCAATATCAGGTCTGGTATAGTTCATTAAGAACATCAGACTACCAATTATTTTTTCATATTCTTCTTGAGACACACATGTCTCTGTGTTCTTTGAGAGCTTCACACCCGGATCATATGGGGTTTGTGCCGGAGTCACCTCATAGCTATCAAATTTCTTTAATAGCTTCTCTGTGTAGTGACTCTGTGATAACTTGTAGCCATCGTCTTCTTTGATGATTTTCACACCAAGTATCACTTCGGCTTCTCTCATGTCTTTCATGTCAAACTTGTCACATAGAGCCCTCTTGGTCTCTTTTATTGCATTTATGTTTGAGCTAGAAATTAACATGTCATCTACATAAATGCATATAAGAACAGTACTGGACTCAATCTCCTTCGAGTACAGGCAAGCATCCGATCGATTTATAGATTTTATAAGTCTACATACCTTTCCTTCTTGCCCTGCAGCAATGCATCCAGGTGGTTGATCCATGTAGATTTCTTCCTCCAGCTCTCCATTTAGGAAGGCCATTTTCACGTCCATTTGATAGACTATCCACTTGTGGGAGGAGGCCAAGGCAAACAATACACGTATTGTGGCTATTTTGGTCACAGGCGAATAAGTATAGAAGTAGTCTTCACCAAACTTCTGTTTGTACCCCTTAGCCACAAACCTAGCCTTGAACCTCTCGCTTGATCCATCAGGTCTTAGTTTTCTTTTAAAGATCCACTTGCAGCCAATTGGTTTGGCTCCTTTGGGTAGATCTACCATATCCCAAGTATAATTAGACTTAATTGAGTCTAACTCACTTTGGATGGCTTATTTCCAGAAGACAGCATCGACGACCAAGCGCGTGACAACCTCAAAGGACTTTGGTTCCACTTCTAATATTAGCTGACATACAAATTGATCCGAAATTTCATTAACATCATTCAGCTCAGATATATATATGTAATGAAATCAGGCCCAAAACTTATTTCGGTTCTTTGTCTTACTCCTCCTAGGCTCCTCTATCTCGATCTCGGTTTGAGAAGTTGGAGGCAGTGAGGAGAAACCTCTTTCAGAGCTCATTGAAGCAAGTTTTAGTGGGAAGACATGTTCAAAGAACTCAATCGTTCGTGCCTCGCACATAGAGCGACTGTCTAGGT